TTCTTCCGGCGATGAGGAGACTGCAGTGAGTGACGCCAACGACAGCGCCAAAAAGGAGCGAAAAAGACCGAGCAGGAAGAAGCGTGTTAAAGGATGGGCCGGTGCCATACTACCTCTGCGTGGTAACAAGAAGCAATCCAAGATGCCTGCGGTTCGGCCACCCACTCCTCCCGCCTCGGTCGGCGTCGTGGAGGATGACGAGGACGAAGACGACACTGACGTAATTGATACTGCTTCTGGAACTGAGTCATCGTTCATCACACCTACTGTCCTTATCACTGAAGCTCGGCCGTTAGAAGATGACTCTGTCTCTCCTAAACAACGATCTGACGAAGATGGCGGGTGTCCGATGATCGACTTGGACGCGGCTCTCGGCCCTTTTAATACCCCATTGCCTCGGAATGCCGAATGGGAAGCGGCACAAGGAGCTGCTGGTCTCGCCGGAAAGAGAAAACTGCATAGTGCCCAAGGCATGAAAGGCTTCATCGGACCCGGCATGCACTATCACCGCCGCGCAGAGTCTGCACCCAATCTCCCTCCTTTCGATTCTGGGCGTACCGGCATTCACAAATATGGAAGCAGCTCGACCATGGCAGATGTTTTTGAGGAGGATGAGGAGGATGATGGAGAGGCCCGGTCGGCGCAAGCGAATCTCGAGTCAAAATACCTGGTGCACGAGGTCATGCGTGATGATGCGGATGATGTTGATGATGTTGACGAAGCTGACGATGCCAATGACGTTGTGGCGGAAACAACGTTGCCGGTGACGACCGAGACATCGGCTTTCGAACCGTCTTTCGTTAACGAAGGGATGGTAGGAAGCACAACAACCTCGGAAGTAATCGATTCCCTTGGAGGTCTCTCCATTGATCAATCCAATTCTGTTCCTTCTTCCCCCAGGCTGCTGCCAAGCCATCGAGAGGCAGCGGCAATCGATCCCAGCCAGCCGCTATCGCTGAACGATGCTACGGTCGTCTCCTTCGGTCCCTTTTCAACGAAACACGCGTCGACATCGAATGCGTCGATCGATGCACAACGATCTCCCATGGCGCCATCAGTTCTGAGTGACAGACTCAGCTACCATTCTTTGCTCATAAGTGGTGAGCCTGGACCGGAAGTACGGATGTCGGGCGATTGTGACATTTCCTCACTCATGTCTAGCGCTTCGACGACAACGCGAGAAAGCGCCTTCGTACCCACGACTCGCATGTCGCAGCCAAGCCTATTCGCAGAACGTCCGGTATCGGTGTCGTCTGCTGCGTTTGGACGCCGACGGTCGAGTTTGGTGTCTCTCAGCCGGCTAATTAGCAGTGCTCACGGAGAACGGAGCAAGCTGTCCATGGAGGTCTCAGTGGACGGTGATGGCGGGGCCAGGAGAAGTCGATCCAAGAATAGCAAGTCGAAACGACTTGGCCGCATGATGCAATTTTGGAAACCCAGCAAAGATAGCAGTCCAACCTGAAGAAAGACAACATCCGGCTGGCGTTGAATTGAGCCAAGATAAAGGTGCTTCTTGAGATGAGTATGGGGCCAAAATCTCGAAAAGCCTTACTGAAGAAGGTTGCCATCACATTGATGGAAAGACTGTTTGGAAAAGGACGAAGAAATTGAAACCTCGATCCCAAAGAAAAATGTGACAAACGAAAATTTTCGGCAAAAGAGAAGAGCACACTCTCTCCCCTCATGAATGTGCATGGTTTTGTCTCGCGCCAGCCATCTCTCACATTCCAAGCCTACATTTTCGGAATTCTGGCAACGAGCTTCTGATGAAGTCTAGTAGTGCTTTGCCTACTACATGAAGTGTTCAAGAAAACGATGCAAGCCGATGGCACAAGGCCAAGCTGCCTCAGGAGCAAATACGGCGTTTGATGGCTTTTGCAGGAACATCACTTTGAGCATGGAGGCGTTTTCTCTTTGTGTAGTGTTGCTGCTTCCCCGTCAGAGCCGCGCGGGAACATGGTTGTGGTACAATGAGCTCTTGGGCCTAACATGCAAGGAGGATTGTTCTATCTTGTTTCCCCGCTTTCATTTTCTCCACAGCTCCTGATGGTTGTGGACATGGTTGCATCGCGCGCGTAGAAGGCGAGCACGGTGGATTGGTCTCGCAAAAAGGATGACACGACGAGGACTGTGGAAGATGGAAATTTGAAGTTTCATGAGGTTTGGAAAAATGCTATAGGGCCCGGTACTTCGAGAAGCCGGTGTGCTATCCTGTTGTAGATCCACAAGGCATGTGTGCTACTGTAGTCACGAAGGCCGCGGTGTTACGCGGCTGGCTGTGAGACGGAATGAGGCACTATTTTACAGTTACATCCTGAGAAAAATAAATGGATGATATGATCAATGAATGAGTGCTCTGTAGGATGTGACTAGATGTGATTAGACGTGTGTGGACACTGGACTGTGTAGACCTGTGTATGACATGAGGTAATAAGACCTGGGAACGAGAACGCGGGAATGCAGACGTGAGGCAGGCAGGAAGGAAGCAGACAGAGATGTAGATAGACCAGAGCCAATCCGGCATGAATGGACGAAAGTGCACCAACGCCAATTGGGTGACCGTTCCGGCTACGCAGCCAGACCCAGCGCCGTCGGCTTCATCATCCTCATGTCCTCATACGGGTGGCTTGGGTGTGAGGTTCTACGGGCGAGGCTCAAACAGGGAGGACGGGGGAGAAAAAGGTCATTCATCTTGATTCTTGATATCCTATGGTGGTTCGTGAATAGTCCAATGTCATACATCTCTTCATATCCATGCTTCCTCGTCAATAACCCAGATCATTCATCTCTTCATATCATGCTTCCTCGTAAACAACACGGGCCATCCATCTCTTGATACACGCTGGTTCGTAAAACAGCCCAGGTCATCCGTCTCCTGATACATGTCATGTTAGTTCGTGAAAGCCCCGGTCGTCCATCTCTTGACACAACATAGGTAGTAATCCAATGCTATCCATCTCTTGTTAATAACGTCTCGTGACCAGCCCCTTAGAAGAACTTCCTAGCCATGTCAACCACCGTGCTGCCCCATCCTTCATCAAGGCCCCCATAGCCACCACCGCCTCGACTCGTCGACCGGGCCGACTGCCCCCGCGTATACGGGGCTTCCCCGCGATAACTCCCCCTATAAGTATCATAGCTATCGTAGCTTCCATAGCTTCCATACCTAGCCGGCTTCGTCTCCCACCGCGTCTGCGTCTGCGTCCGCACCCGTCCCCCAGATTCTGGACTTGGCCCCCTACGCAAGTCCCCCGCCATGCGCACCGCATCAGTCACTAGACCCAGCGAGTCCCCCGTCGCGGCCGCCCGCGAAGCTGCCCCCAGGAGACGCTCCAGCGAGGGCGGGATGCGCAGGCCAAACCGCGCGAGCAGGCTGCCCAGTATACCTGTGGTGAGGAGGGGCATCAGCACAAGGGAGAAGACCTTCCAAGGGTGGCTCTTTGCGTAGTGGACTAGGTCGCGTAGGAGGCGCTTAAGGCGCTTGTAGGTCCGTTGCATGAAGTTTTGGCGAGAGGAGCGTTTGTAGTAGGAGGAACGGTCTGCGATGCGGTTAGTCAGGGCACGAGGGAGAGCGGGATATGGACGGGGTGGCTATGAAAACAACATACTCCCAAAGTTGAAGAAACTCGACCGGCTGTGGTTGCTGCCCACGCCGAATAAGAACGACGGCGTCGCGTTGTGCTTGCTGTTGCTAGTGCCGTAGCTGTAGCCGTGGTTTTGGTAATGGTCTTGGCTTTGGCTGTGACTGTGGCCGTGGCCGTGATGGCCTGCGCTCTCGCCTCTTAGGCCGCCGACCAGAGCGCTGGCCATGGATGTGGCCGCACCGCCTAGACCTGCGAGACTTGGGAGACCTCCGCCACTGGCATTGCCGCGGGGACGGCGGTGGGAGCTGGAGCTGGATCGCGAGCGCGACCGGGCGTGTTTCTTGTGCGGGCGGGAGCTGTCGCGGCGGTGTTTGGGGCGGGAGACGCCGCTGGGGGTGATGTGTAGGCCGTCGGTGAGGAAGCCCATCGTCTCTTCTCGCGACCTTTTTTTTTTTTTTTTTTTTTTTTTTTTTTTTTTTTTTTTTGATTTTTTTGATTTTTGATTGTGAACTTCTTGGGTGATTCGCCCTCGGTGGCTGGGTGAGGGAATTGATCGGCGTCGCCCGCACACGGGATGCGATTGTTGAAACGGTGCAAGAAACTTTATTAGGGGGCGGCGTATAATAAAGACGGCAGGCGGATTTATGTTCTCCTCATGTGCCTTGCCTGTCCGGCCGGTTGCGAGATTTAGTGCTCTGCCTCGATTCTTGTACCTAATTTATAGAAAACGAGCTGACGGTGTATTGGGTGAGTACTCCGTACTTGACCCGACATTTGAGGCAAAGGCGATTCGCTTCTTTTGAGGGGGCAAGACTTACAGATCTAATAAGACTGGTGGACAAAGGTGAAATGGCAAGATGCAGTTATGCAGGCTGCGACTCTGCGAGACATCGAGGGCGGGGAGAGCGCCGTTGAACGGTAAATCGAGAGGCTGGTGGTCGGTTAGGGGGGGCGTGTGAGCAACTGTTCCAGATGTCGGGATCGGAAGGGGTGTGTGACACGTGAGGGGTGGCTCTCGAAACTGTGGCACCCGCCTCGGCGCAGCGGATCCTGAGCCAATTGGAGCGGTTTTTCAAGGCGGCCGCCGGCGTCTGGCGGTTGCGTCACGCGTTTTCTTTCAACGAAGCCGCTTTGTTTGACTGCGAGTCAATGAGAAATTGAGAATAAAGTGCCAGATACTACTCCGTAGACGTGGCCCTCATTTCCTCCACCCTTGGAAGACGGGCCATTTCTCTGTATCTTTCCTGCGATTGCTGCAATGCGGGAAAAGCCTCTTCATGAATAAAGTCTCTCCCACGACAATGCAGCGAGAAAAGATCCTTTTAGGACATCAAGCATCGTTGACTACACAATAACTTCGTAAAGTTATAGTACAAAATACGGCATCAGCTATCAATAATCAGCGTCAATCAAGACGGTTGAGTAGTGTAGTGGTTATCACGGATCCTTCACATCTCAGCGATCGGATCAGATCCGGGTTCGATTCCCGGCTCGACTAAACCTTTTGCATTTCGCCCAGGCGACTACCGAAGTGCCCCGCGTACCTTTTTTTTTGGGGAATTCTTTTTGTCGTGACTCGACTTTCTCAACTTTCAACGTTCAATGCCTGTGCCAATGCGCAACATGTACGCCTGGTGGCAACGACAAAAGCTAGAAAAAAGACCTTCACGTGCAGCCAAGGCGGCCGTGCTCAGATCGCCAAATATTTGAGTTGTTTATTCTCGTGAGGGAGAGTATATTTGCTGGGTCCGGCGTCTCTCATGATCATAATATTCTTCCTCGAGATACAATTCTTGAATTGGATGGATGATCAGTCGCGTTAGCGAGACGACGAGCGTAGCAGTGTCATTGCGATGTCATCATCATCAGTAGCGGTGGTACCTATGATTGTTGTTGTGGTCCGTGGAGATGCACTTGCAAGTTCATTACATATATCCTCCCTCATCTTGGCATCGTGGATGATCGTGCAGCAAGCCTGCCCCGGCCATCAACTGCCTCAACGAGCTGCTGCATAAATCTGAGCTCCAGGATCCAAAAATATTGCTTTGATAATTATGAACGCGAAGCACGAGGGGTGCAGGACATGCGGGACATGCGGCGTCATCCGTGAGAAATTGTCCTACCCTGTTGCGTGCATAATGCCCTCACTGCGGGGCAGCGGGGGTCGTCTCATTGCTCCGTACGTACTTCAAGGCGACAGTAAGCCAAAGTCAACTTTCATGCTTCCTTCTCAACAACTTGTTCATTTTGGCCGGCTTTTCCTCCGTCTTAGGTCTGCCTACAAAAAGACGGCACTGTTGCCCTGCAGTGGCCTCGCATGTTGAGCGTGCCCTGCTGGCCTGACTTCGTCCGTGGGCGATCTGTTTGCGGCGGCCCTCAAATTCAATAGTAGGTACCTATGTAGCCATGCGGACCTCGATCACCTACCTCTATGCCCATTCCGGCACATATCTATGACACCGCCTAAGTTGCGGTGAGAACTTGATGGCGTTGGCGTTGGCTACCCATATAGCGTTCTCATTTTTCAAGCCTCAAACCGTATGAGTCCTCATAAAACAAGCTCCCCTCAGTTCCCGTCGTTCTGTCTATGTGTGAAATCCAATCCTCATCCGTCCGTAGTTGTACCATGCCTATTTGACCTCTATTGAACAAAGAGCCGAGATGAGACGGCTTTCATTCCATCGTAGTTTCGGCAAAAAATAGTTGCAAATAACTGCATGAACAAGACCTGTTCGCTTTGTGAAAAGGCGGACAGATGCTGCTTGGGGGTGGATTGAGTCTTGACAAGCAATTTCTGTTGCAGCACGCTATAATTAGTGACATACCCATCATTTCTGACGGCTTTGAAAAACATCGAACAGTATGTATTTCGTGTTGACGGTCCACCGCGCTGCTCCCATCCCATGCGTGACAATCAGATGAGTCCGATCTTGATGTCACATCAAACTCGACGCGATGACCTTGCTTTTCTACGAAATCTACGTATACAAGGATCTCCTTATTGCTGGGTTCAAGAGGTCGACACGATCACCTACCTAGTAGATCTCTCTCACAGCAGGGCAAGGGAACCAACCAGGATTCTGTGCGTGCAAGCCACGAGTCTGGCGTTGCATCGGACCCTTATAAGTTATTATAGACACCTGGCATATCCAGTATGTACATAGCGCAGTGGACCGTTGAAGCAATCATTACTATCCAATATTATGTATCGGATCAAGGACCTTTTCTCCTCGTGTATGCATGCACCGCACCGCGTCTAGCGCTAGATAATGGTAATACATATGCATATACATCGCCGGCGTCGTTGATCGAGATAATAAGACGCTGCAGAAGGAGGAGGTGAAGCCGTTGGTAAGAAAGAGATAAACCCTAGGAATGGCAAGCAAAACAAGGCGCGACATGCCACTGATGGAGATAGATGGTGAACTTGACTACACATCATGAAATACCATGAGCTGTAAGGGTAACTTGGGCTAATCTATAGGCGTCCATAAGAAAACTATGAACCAGACGCGTCATTATTTGGAGCGTGTTCCGTAATTTCGTTCGGCTTCATCATCAATTGACAGGCTATGCAATCATTACTCGCCAACATTGTACTCGTACTCCGTCTGCTCATCATCATCATCATTATCCAAAGACATCGTGTCCGCTTTTTCATCATCAAGGACCCAGAGCATCTTGCCCACTCATTATCCAAAAAACAACTCACTTTTTTCAAAAACATCCTGTCCAACTCACCCGCGTCCCACCCGCACGTACGGCCCCGGGAATAATCCCTTCGCCCCCATATACGTCCCCGAAAACCAATCCCCATTAACATCCTCCACCTCCCGTATCTCAGCCCCCTTGGGAAACAACAACTCATCCTCGCACCCAGCTTGTGGATACCAGGCCCAACGTGCGCTCGCCGTCACACCCGTGCCGCCATCAGGTGGAAAATGCTGGCCAGACGGCGACGCAGAGGCAGACGTGGACTCGGCTGTAGCCGGCGCAGTGGCCGAGACATCCCTCGTAACGAGCCGCTCCCGCTTCTCGGTACCCTTGCCCCACGACCACTTCTGCAGGCCTTGTCCGTTGTGATCGGGGTTCTCGTATGGTTCCGCCCGGAGGAACCGCCCTCCCACGATGTCGCGCTCGATGAAGCGCCACTGGCCTATCTTCCCTTCCGTGAACCCAATAACCGCCATTCTATGGCCCTGTAGACACCGTCTCCAACCCGAGGGTCCGTTTTCCGCACTGATCTGGCCTCTCGTCGCTAGATTGGTGTAGCATGCAGAGCAAACGTCATACTCGCCCGGTGGACCATCTGGTACCAAGGCACTGGTACAGCTAAAGCAGTGGTATCGGATATGGGACGGGAGTATGGCGCCTTGACAGACGTCACACCGAGAGCGGAAAGTCAATGGCTTGAAGGGGCCGATGCTGGATGCTCGAGGGCCGGTGTAGATACTCGCCGCCGTGGGGGGTCGTCCTGGAGATTTTAGATGTCGAGATCTCGCATGCGCCTGCGAGGCCTCATGCGTCAACGGAAGCAGCATATGCGTACATGATTTACCCTGGTTGACGCAAGTATTGCAGAAACCCCAGTCTCCTTCGTTGCACACGTCACAGCGCCAGTAACAGTCGTTGGTCCAGACGCTGCATCGCGCGCAAAATGTTCCTGTTTCCAGCCGGCCTCTCGGATCATCCGTCGTCAGCGTCTTTCTCCCATCGGCCCCGCCAGGAATCGATGGAGGTGGCACGTAGCGATTCGCGGTGAGCATGTGCGGTCTCTCCAGGGAGCTGTCTCCTTGCTTTCGCATCTTCTCCCACTTGCTCCATGCGGCGTACCCAAAGCCAAACCAGTGCTGGCATCCCTTGCCGGATCGGTAGCATTGGAGACAAATGTTCCATTGCCCGCCAGTGCAGGTTGCACAGTTGTAATGGACCTCATATTCTATGTGCTGTTTGTTGCACCTCGAACATGCAATGGACGGTTCTGGAAAGAGCTGCGATCTGGTACGTCGATGCCCTCCTGAAGAAGCGGCGGGACTGCTCAAGGGACTGTTACCAGATGAAACAGCGGAAAGCTCTGCTGGCAAATGCAGTCTATTGAGCTGTGCTGGAGCCGGCTCGCTTGCCGTCCTGGCTGTCAGCGAATCTTCCATATGGGGATTCCACTGTGGCACTCTGCTGGCAAAAGAAGCATTGTTCCCAGCGGGCGGCAATCGCAGATCGTTTCTCGTGTGCGATGACGTGGTAGGCACTGAATATGAGCTAGCGCTACGTCCTTCGCCAGAGCTTCGCCAGGAAGCCACGGGGTCTGATGTCTGTGGCCGACGTACGAGGTCGGTCTGCGAGCGAGCGGCTGGTCGAGGTTCTGGTCCTACAGAAAGAAACGTGGAAGCAGTCGTCGCACTTCGTCCTCCACTGGCTGTTCTGCGCCGCGGACGTCTCACGGGTTCGCGCACCTCGAGATGCGAAGAGGATCCAGTCGGCGGTGGCCGGCTTCTGTCTTCCAGCTGCGAATTCCCACTCGTTGACCTCGAACGTGCACGGGACCTTGACCCGCTCTCGGGCGCCCTCGGCCGGGTTTCTGTTTGGACTCTATCAGAGCCTCTAGGAGCATCATGATTACGATGTCGTTCTCTTTGCCGCCGCCGGTATGCCTCGGTGATGCGTCGGCTCAGTTCGTCGTCTCGGGTCAAGTCGATGTTATCCAGATCAAGACCATCTAGTAGCCCTTCCTCTTGAATTTGCCTGGCAAAGTCTTCAATCTCGCGCTCTATGTCGCGCTCGCTCATTTGTGCAGATCCAATCAGAGAACGTAGGGATGTTTGATGTTCCACCTGACGTTGACGGCTGCCATTTTGTCTCCTGCGCCTCCGCCGTTCTTCTTCCCCAGCACTGGTATCAGACGTTTGACGGCTCGAGTCCTCGCTCGTAGTCGTGCTCATCGCTTCTTCCGCAGCGTGTCGTCGTCGTCGCCGCCGCCGCCGCCTCGGTGATGAGTTCGACCGGGATCTGTGCGGCCTATTCGATGTCGATCTGGTGTTGACAGGACGACTGTGTCGAGGTTGTCGTGAGTCATCTCGAGAACGTCGGCTCGGATTCACCTCGCGCAGGCTCATCTCTCGCACCTCGTCGATCAAGCGCTGATCTTCCTCATCAGCTCTCCTCTCTTCTGAGGTCCTCTCGTGGCGACGGACTTTGGGCAGCACCTGGTCCCCAGGCTTGTATTTGGTGGCCATTTCCTCCTGGTCAATTTGAGATCGAGCTTTGGCCGGGTTCGCTGCTACAAGCATGTCGAGCAACGTGACGACAGTGGCATTGTGCCGCGTGTCTCGCACAGAACTTCGACATGACGGGCAGGTAAAGACAGCGTTGTGAGGAGAAGGCCATGACGGTGCCCTCTCAGTCTTGTCAGCTTGGTAATGAAACCACTCTTTCAAGCAGGCCCCACAAAATGTATGAAGGCAGTCAAGCAAAGTTAGGGGCTGATAGAGGAGCTCCGTA